AATGGGCACAAATATGGATCTCTTCCAGTCAGTTGGCCAGGTAGCTGTCCTCCAAATCTCTTGGCATAACTGAGTGAGTGCCTCCAATGGGGCATCTGTTTGTTGAAATATCTCAATCGGTATGCCATCAATTCCTGGAGCCTTGTTCTTCGCCAGTTCTTTCATTGCAGCTTTGACTTCTTCCTTCATTACCATTGGTTCTAGATCATATGCCACTTCCTGAAATGGACAAAGATCGATCAGTTCTTTTTGGTACAGTGACTCTGTGTATTTCTGCCATCTTCTCTTGATGTTTCCTGCATCATTCACTATTTTGCCCATAGAATCTCTCACTATTGCAACTCGAGGCTTAAATTTTTTCTTCAGTTTGAGAAATGCTGAGCGTGTTCTTCCTTTTTGGTTTTCAGACTCCAGGTCTTTGCACATTTCATTATAGTAATTGGCTTTGTCTACTCGAGCTGCTCTTTGAAATCTTCTGTTCAGCTCTTTTACCTTTTCATTTCTTCCATTTGCTTTAGCGATTCTCCGCTCAAGGGCAAGGTTCAGAGTCTCCTCTGTCATCCACTTTCGTCTTCTCTTCTTTTCTTGTCTTTTTAGTGATCTCTTGCTTTCTTCATGGATAATGTTCTTGATATCTTCCCATAATTCATCTGGTTTTCGGTCATTGGTGTTCAATGCATCAAATCTATTCTTTAGATGATCTCTAAATTCAGGAGGGATATATTCAAGATCATACTTTGGCTCTCTTGGACAGTCCCATTCTGTCACCTGGGGCTGCTGTCAGAAATCAACTTGATGGCACCTGTATTAATGACATGATACATTCCAATGGAAAAACCCATTAGGCAGTTGGGAATACAGTCCAGCAGAGAGGCTAGCATTGGAGAGAGATATTTGGTTGTTGTTGTTGTTGTTGTTGCATCGGAGAGAGATATTTGGTAGTCTTTATTAAATGGTTGATTGAAGCCTTAGAGTGGGAAAATGTCACTCAAAGAAAGTGCAGAAAAAGAAAAGTCAATAAAGCTGACTTGGGGAGAAGAAACTCAAAGCAAAAGAAAGGGGTGCCTTGCAAGCTCAGTGAGGAGAAAGTTCAAGGATGAGAGAGTAACTTTGTCACTTGCCACAGAGAAATTAAGTAGAATGAAGATTAAAAATTTGTCAGGAGCTATATTACAATGGCTTAAGTTTTTAGGCTGTTAATTTCTCTAAAATAGGGAAGGAGATAGTTTTCATCTTTGATTCTCAGTTCCTACTCCACATTAAGAACTTAAAATATAAATATATAATCTATTGAATGAATGAGTGAAAGGAGTGAGAGAGTTATAGCTTGAGGTTGAGTTCTTCAGAGTGATGGAAACTTGGGAGCACTGGTACATCTAGTGGAAGGAGTTTATGCTGAAAAAGCAATTGATGATAGCATAAACCAAACAAACCAAACAGTTGCTATTGAGTTGATTCCGACAATGGCAATGGCAATTCCATGTGTTTAAGAGTAGAACTTTGCTCCACAGAGCTTTCAGTGGCCGTGGTTTTTCAGAAGCAGATCACCAGATCACTCTACTTAGGATGCCTTGGGCAGATCTGACCACCAACACCCCGACCAGCAGCTGAACGCGTTAACCTTTTGCACTACCCAGAGAACCCTGAATAGGTGGGAAATTATATACACACAAATTCCAGGGAATTTGCTGGAATAGTTTGGGATGGAATCTGGGGCACGTACAGGAAAACTGACTTTGGAAAAAGAGGACCAACCCTTTTCCTCACCAACAGGAGGAAGGGAGTTATAGGTTAGGATACAGGTAAGTTAGAAAGTAAAGAGGAAGTGACATGAGAGAGTTTCCCTGTTTATTTTACCACTAAAGTGTAAGTCTGAGTCACGTGCTGAAAGTGTACTCAACAGAAATAGCATTAGGAAGGCTGAGGTAGAGAGTTAAGGCTCAGCACAACCATCATGGTGACCAGGAAGGAGAAGTTACTGGGGACAATCAAAAGAAGTGCTTAACTGTTGGAGGAATAAACTTTTAACATCACTATGTGTGTGTGTATTCCATTGTGCTTGGGAGTCTAGTTACAGAAGCATGTACAGCTGTTTTACAGAGTTGCAGATTGGCAAAGATAGGTGTGACAGAATAAGGGGCTGAGGGTATTTCAGTATTTGAGTAGTTTTTATATGTACTCATTTTATGAATAAGGAAACCTGGTAGCACACTGGTTAAGCAGCTGGCTACTAACCGACAGGTGTACAGTTCAAACCCATGAGCAACTCCCTGGAAGAAAAGATCTGGTGATGTACTCTCATCAAGATTTACAGCCTTGGAAACCCTATAGGGCATTTCTCCTATGTCCTATACTGTCACTATTAGTCAGAATCGACTTGAAGACACACAACAGCAGTATTATGAAATGTTATCACATATGAGAATTCAAAAACCCAAACTCACTGTCGTTGAGTTGGATCCGACTCATAGCTACGCCTCCTTGAGTTTCCGAGTCAGTATCACTATGGAAGTAGATTGCTCAACCTTCCTTCCAAGGTGTGGCTGGTGGGTTTGAACTGCCAGCTCTCTGGTTAGCAGTCAAATGCCTTAGGCACTATGACACCAGAGTTCTTATATGGGAATTATTACCATATAAATGGTAATGGAAGCCATGGTGGTAAGTGAGATCATCCCAAAGAGAGTTTAGAGTGAGAGAAAAGGGTTGAGATCGGACCCTGGTAAATATTATAATTAAGGAGTGGCCAGAAAACTTCTAAGAAAGAAAAGCAAGAAGAAATGGTCAAAGTACGAGGAAAATTAAAGGAGAGTAATATTTTAGAAACCAATGGAGAAGAGAGTTTAAAGCTGAAGGGAGTGACTATATAATTAACTGCTGATGGAATAAGGAGTAAAGTGAGGATTAAAAAGAATTCCTTGGATCTGGTGAGTTGATCCATAATAGATTTTGCTAGAGTCACTGTAGTGGAACAGTAGGAGAAGAACGAATTTGAGGTGAGGAAGTGGACACAGTGAACTATGGAATGTGTAATGTAATGACTGGAATGAATGCAAACAGGGAGAAAAGAAGTCAATAAATGAGGTGACAGCCCAAACAAAATTAAATACTCATAGGAAAAGATGATGGCTAGGAAGAAAGGCATTTCTGATGTTGTCATAACTTAAGAGAAAAAAAATATGTATCTTGCTTTGAGTCATGTTTAATTCAGCAATTTAAATATCTGTGACCTCAAAATTTCTTCCTTGTACTGGTATTAATGTGAATCAACTCAATAAATATTTGTTGAACACCTACTCATGCTGAGCCCTTCCAGGGAAACAAAGATAAGAAAGGCTTAATTGTTGCTGTCTAAAGAGTTTTCATTTAGTAATGGAGAGATGTTTTTGTACAACATTCCAGGTTACATTAATGAGAAAGATTAGGTTTTTTAAGACTTGAAAGAAGCAATGGTAAGCAAAAAGTAGAACTGCTAGAAACTAGTTTGGAGAGGTGAGCAGGTACTAGAGATTGTAGGGTCTTGAAGGCCTTAGTAAAGACTACGCATTTTATTTTCTGTGCAATAGGAAGCCACTGAAGGGTTTAAGCATTCAAAGGATAATTATGGTTGCACTGTGGAAAATGGACGAGATGGGAGAGGGATGGGTAAGAGATGAGAGTTGATGAAACTGAGGTGATAGCAGTATAAATGGAAAAGAAATGTATGATGTCCTGACACACATAGTTGGAGCTAGAGTTTGCTTTTCTTGCTCCTCATTGTTGGGTCCAGTGATGATCCCAAGAGCAGACTTAGGCCTGTCCAATTTCTGAGCTAATCTTCATGGAAACAAGAACTTTAACTGTTTCTAGCTCCAAATGATGGGCTAATGGGAAAGGTGGTTCCTCAGTCCTGATCTGTGGTCCTTGCTACAGCCAAGTCCTGACCTAGGAATTCCAGTTCTGACCCCTAGGGATGTGCACTGGTCCCTTAATAGTAGTTTACTCCTCTTAGATGCTCTGGATCTCATCAAGTGGAACCTACATCCAAAACTAAGCCTGATTTCCCCTTTCCACTCCAATCCATAGAGGTGAGTTTCTATGTTAGCCCCTATTCCAAGTGGTTGATCCTAGAAAATCATGACAGTGTCAGGGTCACAGTTTTATCACCACCAGCACTTGTCAAATAAGTATTTGTTGAATGAATGAACAAATTAGCCCTATGGTGTAGATAGGATTCCCCATTTTACAAGAAGGAAATTAAGGTACATAGCAGTTTTGCCCAATATGACATCTTCAATAAGTTGTAAAGCCAGAATTCACTCAGGTATCTGACTGAGATTCCATTACAATTTGTAGAGAGTCTTTTTAGAGAAAAGCCAAATAAAACAATGAACTGTGGAAGTTTCAGGGTACATATAAAGTAAATGCTTTAACACAGACATCCTCAGTATTTCCTCATTCATGAGATGCCTTAAGAGATATATTGTGTTACTTATGATTTTACTGCTTCCAAAATGTGTTCATGTTAGTATTTAGTCCTGATACTCACTTTTGATATTTGTTGTAATCTAATTTTACAAAAACAATATATCATCTTAAATACTGAATTAGCCATTTTAACAAGTGGGATTATACTTTTCAAATGACATTTATATATGTAAACTATTTAAAAATCTAAAAGCAAAAAGACACAGAAGTTAAAAATAGAGAACTATTGTTTTATAGTTCGGTGAAATAATATTTCAAAAGATAAATATGATTTCAAAGCTTTAGAATTTTGAACATAAAATGCAGTGCCCTCATGATCTAAATGACATAAATCAAGCTTCTTTTAACATTATAATAATATAACAGGAACAGCAGTACTTTCTTGTATCACATGGACAAGGATACTTTAAATAGATTGTAAATTAACTAATTCCAAGCATTGAAGAAGATAATTTCCTAGAGGACATTTTGTCACAATTCACAATGGTTTAAAGCATGTTTAATGACTAGATAGAGTCACTAAATTTTATACTCACTCTTTCATGATACTTTTGGTTCTTTTCCCTAAGTTTTTTTAATTGAATCATGAGTCGTTCTACTGCACTTTCCTTTATTTGACAGCTGAGAATACACAAAGGAAAATAAAAGTTATAATTATTTATCTTAGGGCAAATTAATGGGAAAAAACTTAAAAATTAAACTAAATTGACTGAAGTGAAATGAATCATTAAATCTATTATAAAAATCCATTTAAGGATAAGAATCTTTCCTAAGTGATTTTGTGTTTCTGAATATATTTTGCTTATTACAATATCTATTGGGAAGATAACTTCAAGTGTTGTTTTGTATTTGGAAAAAATCAGTCCCCATTCATATTTCATAGTCATAATTTTTGTACTTTCTAGTTATCTATGGGAGCTCTGGTGGCGTAGTGCCTAAGGCATTTGACTGCTAACCAGAAGGCTGGTGGTTCAAACCCACCAGCCACTCCCTGGAAGGAAGGTTGGACAATCTACTTCTGTAGTGATACCGCCTCAGAAATGCAAGGAGGGGTCACTATGAGTTGGATCCGACTTGACGGCAGTGAGAGTCATCTATAGACAATTAAACTTAAAGAAAATCTAGAAAAAAGTTCACAGAAAACATGTTTTTTCAAAGTATAAAAACATTCAGATAAAAATGACAGACAGAACAATTACTTTATAAGGAAAATCACACCTTGAAATACCAAGATAAACTAGGCATGCCAATTGGTTCAAGTTCATTAATATACCATCTCTTATATAAATAACAAAAGCCTCTTTCTTGGCCCAACTACATTTCTTTAACATCCAGCATTCTGTAAGCATCTGCTAGGTATGAAAGAGAAAAAAATACAGAACGACTTTGGTATAGGACATTTGATAGCTACTTGAAGGGTTAATAAGATCTTTATATCCCTATTACCTAGAAAATCTTATAACTTTACATTTAAAACCAAAATAAGCAAAGGAAATAACTTTGCCCTGTATCTTTTGCCTCCAAGAGCTCTGGTGGTGCCATGGTTAAGTGCTTGGATGCTAACCAAAAACTTGGCTGTTCAAACACACTCGGTAGCTCTATGGGAGAAAGATCTGGTGCTCTGCTCCTGTAATGACAACCTAGAAAACGCTGTGCAGTAGTTCTACTCTGTCACATAGGGTCACTTTGAGTTGAAAATCGACTCAACAGCACCTAGTAATATTCTTTACTTCAATTAAAAACAAACAACAAAAATATAGTACCTCTGTAGTTGAAGAGTGGTTGAAGAATGAGAAATTCTGGTTTTTAATCTTGTCCCTACTACTTCTTACCTATATGACCTCAGGTAAGTCAATTCTTTGGGCCTCAAATTCCAAACTGTGAAATGGAAATGACAATACCTAACTCTGTATATTGTTGTAAGGATTAAAATAAGAAATCATATGTGAATGTGTTTGGCATAAAGTAAGTGCTTTGCAAATTTCAGTTCAATCAGAATCTTACATTTTTAGCTGTGTCCCCCAAAACATCACATATTTTTATGTATACTCTGTAGAGAGAAAAGTAAAATGCCTTCCTTCCAAATGATGAGAAAATTAATAACACAAAACAAGCAAATCTTTTAATAGCAAAAAGCTCTGTCTGTGTACTATGAATTTGGATTTTCCTGGTTACTGTTTAAAAACAGTCAACCATTTCATGCTTTGGCTTGTTGTTGTTAGTTGCTGTCTAGTTGGTTCTGACTCATAGCAACATGAGTACAACATATGTACAACAGAGTAAGCATTGGTTTACTCTTCTATAAACAAGTTTGAAAAGAAATGATCTCTATGGTTTCTTTATAGTTCTAAAATTCTACTATTTAAATTGATCAGTGTTGTCTTTCAGGCAAAACTAGGGGAAAAACCCAACCACATTATTCAGATATGATCACTTTATAGATTTATCTTTGACAGCATCAGTTCTTCACAAACAACTGAAGAAGTTCATGTCCTTCCTTGGAATAGAGTCCCAAGCTACATGAAATTACCTGGTCAAAGAGTAGGACTTCGGTATAGTGACTGCTAATGCTTTCAGAATATTTGAACATATACATACACCCTCACTTAAAACAAACAAACAAACAAACACCTCACTGTCATAGATTCTGACTCATAACAACCCCCTTTGGGTTTCTGAAGTGGTAAATCCTTATGGAAATACATTCCCCAGTCTGCCATCTGCAGAGTGACTGGTGGGTTTGAACTGCCAACCTTAGGCACTATGCTGCCAATGCTCTTTACACTCTCACTAGTGGGTAAGAAAGTACGTGTTTCAAGGTAGGACATCTCATCATTGAGTATTAGTACTTGTAGTGAATGAGTTCCTTTATGTTGTCTTTTGCCCTAGTTCTTTCGAAAAACAAGAGTTTTTTTCCCAAGCCCTGAGGAATTACCTTTGCCCTATTTTTCTACCCTAGGTTTGTTACTTTTGTCCAGTTTGAATGGTATTTCCTGAATAAGGGGTAAACAACTTGATGGTTTGATATTGTTTTTGTGTGGCACTGGGCAGCAGTTTGTCCTGTGATTGGTCTATTTTATGCATCTTGTAAGGACTGGTCAATATACTATGCAAAAGAAGTGACCATAGCATATACAAATGAAGTGATTATGGTCCACCGAGGAGATTGGTCAGTTCTTGGCCCTGCTGGGAAGACTATGCCTTGAAATTGACAAGGTGTTTGCTAATATATGTAGCCAACCCCACAGAAGTTTTAGGAGAAAGAAAGAAGGAGAAAAAAGGCAAGAGAAAAAAGAGAAGAAGCAAAGAATCTCCTAAAAATGCAGCAACATGGGTTGATGGCTGTAACACTGAAGACAGTGAGAAGTTCAAAGGGGCCCTGTGGCAGTGTTGGTGGTCATGGCAGAAACCTGCTGCTAGGAATGCAGCTAAGAAAGAGCTGAACAAAGCTGCTACACTGGCTACGAGCTGCATTAGTTAGCAATGGATAGGCCAAAAGCAGAGAGGCCTGCACAGCTGAGAGGGAGTGTGCAGAGCCAAGAGGAGGCCTGTCTTGAGGGGGCTGAGAGGAGGCCTGCATAGCTGAGAGGGAATGTGAAAGGCAGAGAGAAGGGCCTGCTTGCTTGCATGGCTGAGAGACTCTGAGAGTACTGTCCTGAAGAAGGAAGAGAAATGCTCTCCACCTTTGAGGAGCCTTCCAGACTTTGACTACACACTTCCTATTCCTGATTTGGAGTTGTGGCCTGTTGATCCTGATCCTGAGTTGTACCCTGTTACTTCCTTAATAAATCACTTAACTATAAGTATGTGAGTTCTGTGGGACCATTTCAATGAATTTTTGAACCCAGCAGAGAAGTAGAGAGTGCCATGTGTGTGTGTATGGGGTGATGGCTGATGTCAGAAGCGGTCAAGAAGGAATATGGAGATATATCTGATCTCTACTTCATAGGAATCAGTTTTGTGCTGATGGTAATTCTCTATCCTCTTCTTAAAGTTATAGGATTTTAGGCACTACTAGAAAATACAGTACTTTTCAGTTTTTCACTGTCATGAGTGTGCTTTTGCTTTCAAACAAGATTAAACAATATTTACTCAACAAAAAAATCATAAGCTAATATAATAGATAAGGTTGTGTTAGGTACTATAGTTACAGAGAGGAATGAAATGCAGTCCCTTTCTTCAGGAAAGTCACAGTTTGTTGAAGAAGAGCCAAACAGAAATTAATCGCCATAATTTTTTCCCCTTATCTCAAATATTCTAACAGGACTGTCCATATAAAAACAAAAGTTCCAAAACCACCTATCCAAATAAGTAATATAATACCAAAAAGAAGTTCCCTTGCTCAAAAAACATTAATCAACTATCTAGTATGTGTTCATGGCTTTGTTAGGGGATTGGATATTAGAAGAGAAAGATAAGATGTTGCTAAACAGTCCTTCCTCAGAGTG